TACCCATTACGTTTAATTGCATTTTTCAAATGATTCAATTCTGCAAACAGGGTTGTGGCTGGTGGTTGGAGTTTTTGTTCAGGTATCTGTCTGTGTGCGTTGGTTTTCTGTTCTGTTCACAATGGAACGAGAAATCCAAGGGACTCTAGCCTTCTTGGAAGTTCTTGTGAACAGACGTGAAGACGATACACTAGGTCACCGAGTGTACAGAAAACAACGCACAGAGACAGATACCTGAACAAAAACTCAAACCACAAGCCACAACACAAGAGAGGGCTAAATTGAACGTTGGTTGAGGAAATACAACGGATCTGTGAACTTGAGGGTCTGCTTGAAGTACTGAATCACCTGAAAAATGCAGTCAAACAGCGAAAGAGAATTCGAGCGGGCCATACGACCCAGGAGAGAGATCACCAAAGAAATCCCAGTTAGGCCAATCAAGGGAAAAGCTTTCCTTTCCTATGTCAAAAATGCCACAGACCGGATTGGTAGAATCTTAGCGAAGCACGACGTGAAACCAATATTTAGGTCAACAAAAATCATCAGACAAAGTCTCAGGTCAGCGAAGTACCCTAGAATCTCTAGCAACGCCACTGGTATACCACATTCCGTGTAGCTATGGGTCGGTCCACATCGGAATCACGAAACGAAGTATAGGAACCCGTCTTTTCGAACACAAGAGAAACTTGCCTCGGCTAAACCGACAAGTCGACTGTGGCCAAACATGCTCTCAAGAAAGAAGGGACCCACATTATCTCATCTGAAGACACAGTACTCGACAGTACTCAAAATTACCACTCAAGAATAGACAATAGACATTCAAAAGCATAGGGATAATTTCAATAGAATAGAAGAGACAATGAATATTAATAAAAGCTGGCTACCTGTCCTTAGAGGTACACGAACACGAAAAGGTAATACAATTGAGAATGATATAAATAGAGCGCCCTGTAGGAAAATAGTAGTTACTTCGGTCAGAAAACCTGGAAAATAGTCTCCATACAACTGAAAACAGTTTGAGATATTTTTTGAAGTGTGTGTGATAACGTTTGACAAATATTTTTGTAAATACGTGATCTACTGAATATTATTGGACCTAGTGAATTAAAATAGTTCTCGATACCTGATTTCTGGAAAAAGGTACATTCAGCTGATCTTTTATTCTGGTGTTATGTGTTTCAAATTATTGAAAACATAAAAACAGACTTCAACTATGTTTTGAGCACATCTTGAGTCAACTTGGGCCTAATAGAGCCGCAACAACTGATCAACAGACAAAATTGTTTTTAAATGGGAAATTGGTGGGTAACTGAATTCAAATTGTTATTCAGTGTTGCCCATATACTACCTGTGTTCTCTTCATAATGACTGACTATTTCCAACGGCCACATAACCACTACCTACGTTTGTTCAAATATGTTTTAATCCATTTCAGAGTGACAAGACGAATCCCGTACCAAAATAGTTTATCCAATGAAATAACATGATTAATGCAATCGAATGTCCTGCTGAGGTCACAGAATACCCGAATAGGGCATTCGGCGGCGTGAATGTAATTTAATACTTTAAGTACGTATAAATTAATTGCAGTTGTAGTTGATTTATTTTGCACGAATCCATGTTCATCTTGATTTATAATGTTGACATCTTTTATGCAAAATAATGTTATTTCTAGAATTATTATTGATAATTATTAGTTATGATTTCGCACGGTGGTAAAGTAGTATACAACTTCAAGATAAAGTAATTTTGAGCTTTTTGCATTGGCCTCTCCTGTGATTATACGATATAAATTTGTTATTGTTACTACTACTTCCGAATGTTTCAGAAACATATCTTGAACCAATCCTGCAAGATTCTGCCAGAAGTCCATAAATCTTCTTGCCATCCAGGTGTTCAATATTTGTTTGGCAAAGCCTAAAGCGATGCCAATGACAGGTTCGGGTCCGATGAAGCTGCTTGCAGCACCCTCTTTTGCAAGGGAGGCAGCAGCCTCATCACTACGTTCTTCTTCCAATCTCTCCGCACTCAATTCAATAGCGTACATTTCCGCTTGAAATACAGTGGCATAGGTTCCTAGGCAGTTTGATATTTCTGTCCTGGGTCTGCGACTGAAAATTCCTGCACCAGAACCGGAAGGTGTTTTTGATCGTATTTGTCAACAATAGTCAACCTACTTGACGCGGCTAGATACATCACCAATACGTCGCGTATTCTTTTCGATTTCATTTGCATTCCAATTGCGAATATCTTTCACGATTATAATCCTGACATTTCTGGATATCATATATAAATTGTTGGTATTCAAGGAAGAGTTGGAATTGAAGGATTTTTGTCTTATTTCCGTCAGGTTATGCGTAAAGTAAAGTGTGGTTATTCGTTTTTCATTTCGGTCCCTTGTATTGTTAAGTTAGGGTTTCGTTACTGTCATACTCAGATTAAAACTGTGAATTTCTGTGGAAGCATTTATGCAAAGTTTTAATATCCAGTTTTTCATTGTATTTTCAAGAAGACTATGTGCGGTCTCTCTTTTCATATTGTAAATAAAATTTTTGAAATATCTCTTAAATAGTTGTTCAGTGTTAAAGATTCTTATAAATGTTTTATAGTCATCAGGAAGATAATTAGATAATTTTGCACTCAAATAAATATAACTTTTCTGACCAAGAGATCTGTAACAATATATCTTCATCATCTTTTGATTTATTCGGCTTCTTTGCTACCTCCCAAGAATTCCCTTTCCCAGATCGCCATCTTTCTTTCTTTCTTCTGATTCATAATTCAAGTTTCACATGCATAGAGTAGTATTGCTCTAATTTTATTGTTACATATGCTCGGATTTCGGTTGACATTGACACATTTTTTGCCTCCAGAAGTTTTTTATCTATTTCTCTGCCTTCCATCATTAATTTAATTTAAGATCATTGTATGTATGCATTATCCTGAAATAATCTTGTTTCTGAACTTTCAATACTGTTTTATATTTGTTATAATGTGTTATAATAAGCGAATGAATGTCTTTACGTACTGTTATCGATGACATGAGTCGATATAACATATTCGTGACATAAAGTTGTAATTTTATGAAGGAATTGAGAGCTATATCTTGTAATGTTATTCAGATTGATGCTGAAGAGGCAATAAGGTAAGTGTCTTATTCTGAAACATCGGATGTCCGCCACTGAGGATGACATTATTCCATGTATGTGAAATTGTACTTCTTTCATATACTGTATTGTATAGCAATCCTGTGAAAGGTATATGATTAGAATCCATTACGAATGTTTAGAATACAAACTGAATAGGAAAAAGTGTTTTTTGTATAATTCAAAGTCCATATAAAAGTAGTTATTTCGAAAAGATTTTTTCTTTCGTGTGATTCAATGTTTATAGAAAGTAATTGTTTTGAGAGGGTTTTTTCTTCCAGTTTGTGTCTGAAAGTTACTTCTTTGCATGATCTACACAACTGCACAAATTTTATTTTTGAATTGATTGCTTTCTTTCTTTGAAAGATTTCCTACGTAGTTTTCCAACCTATTTTTTGTATATTCTGTATTCCAGGATAATGTACTGAAACACATGAATTAGTGTTATTCATTTATATTCTGCACGCACCCTGATTCGCAACATGTGCATTGATCCCAATATCAGAGTATTCAGTTCGATACGTGACAAGTGCCTTCGTATATTATTTACATAGAGAATGTTTTGATAAAAAATCTCTCAACATAGATATACCAGTATTTGATGAAAATGAACCTGCCTTGATTGGTAAAAGAAATTAGTTATTGAATATCTTCAATATCTGTTGAAGTGAAAATGGAAACTTCTAACGAGGTTTTGCGAAAAGAAATGTACTCGTATACAAGGAGTTGAAGAATGAACCGGCATTGAATACTGATTCAAGAGAAGCTGGGTACAGTTGATATTCAAAAATGTCAAATAGAGATGCATATTTTTCACGGAAAATGAAGTTTCTGTACAACTGTCATTGAAAGTGACATTTTTGATGTTTGTCAAGAGTATTAAAAGATGATGTTTACAAAGTAGCGTGTTAAAAATATTTTTAACACTAGTGGGCGTAATGCAACGTATTTATTAAACTAGTCAATGTTTTTCCAACAATGCAAAAAGAACGACCTATTTTCTTTTTTGTATTTGAAATTTGAACAATCAATGATTTATCCATTAATTTAATGTCTTCTATTAATAAATGGCACAACTCTTCACCCCGACAGGCCCCATATATTCCGAAAATAGTAGCAACTTTTATCATCAAATATTTTTCATTTGGCGCCTCATTTATAAACCTCTAGTCTTGTTCAAACGTAAGAGTTTTTGATTTTTTGGGCCTATACCTTTAATTTTTTCGCTTTAAGAATGCTACTAACTTGAAATATTTGCGTGTATTACCACCATTTTTAACGAGCGCACTCAACTTCATCATTGAAAACTTGCTTCACGAAGTTGACGAGTTCCATATTTTTGATTTCTCTTCTAGATAGGCTGAGAAGACGGTTTCGCTGAAATTTTCTTCGACGTTTTTAAGTCTACACCAGCTAAGAAAATTAGAATATGCTGAGGCGATTTTTTGGTAACAATTCAATTGAAGCTCTTTTTGCAGCCTCTTCAATTTCGTCAGGAACACACAATGTTCGTGAAATTACTCAACTCGCTACGCTCGTTTCGCAAATTCTTTCACTCACAAAATAAAACCTTACTTTTAACACTCATATCATGAATAGCTATTGTAAGGAAATGATGACAGAACATATTTCACAGCATATATAAAAGAACATTCGAACTTATTAAGGAACCGAAAATGAACTCGATAATTAAGAAACCCGATTGTAACAACTGATAGCAATTGAAAAATATAAAGATTACAGATGGGTGTTTTTATCATTTCACACTCGTTTGCGAAGGCCTTTGTTGGGCCTACAATCAGCTTCTTCTTAGTTTCATAATTATAATGATATATACGTGATGTATCTACTCACCAAAAAAGATCCCAGTCAAACAGGGTCATGTAGTATGCAAGCTCTTTCGTGCTGAACATTTCTATATCTCCATCTATACCTTGCGTCGGTTGTTCTTGTTCGCTAAGACACGTCTGGAAAAAAAATTTCATTTTTTTTGTTTATATTTGCGTAAGAGACCTATATTAAGTGGGACTTTATTGAATGGTTGGGATTCTGGGTTTCTAAAATGAGAACCTAACTTTCCTTATGATTTATGTGGTAAACTATCTTCAGGAGATACTGAATTATATTTCATTGGATGAATTTTGATTTGTACTCCATCAAAGTAGCAAATCAAAGTTCTTGTGAAAGTTATTTAGTATCTTCTTTGATAGACGATAGTGAAGCATAAATTTATAGAACATCCCAATAATTTAATGCTCTCAAAGGAAAACGTATCTCAGTAACTGATAATTAATGTTTCGGAGAAAAAACATACACCTCTGTGTGGAAGACGAAGTTCGATTTGCGATGTATTGCAATGGATAAAACTTAATCTACTTTTTTATGAGCAGAGTTAGATATTTTCTGTAGTTCGTGAAAAGGAAAAATAACCCAAAAACCATAAAAACCGTGGGATGTCCTTAGAACGGTTGAGGATATGTGCTTCATGATATAATATATATAAAGTGATGTTTATTTCAATATAAATATGACTCTCAAATACTGGGTGAGAATGAATAATTACTCAAACGTATATACATAAACTAGATGAATAAAAGGAACGATATTGATATAAGAGAAATTAGTACAATTCAACATACAAAGATACAATGATTATGTATGACTTAATACCTTACTTTTGTGCCTAGAGCGAAACGGGATGCTACTTCAACTGAGTTCTTGTTTTTTGAACAACTATTACCTGCTTGCTCATTTTTCTCAGATCATGTGGCTAAGAATTCACTACTTTTAGTTTTCTTATTTCCTCAAACTTTTAAAGAGAGGTATATTTTTTCTCAGTTCAAGAGAACATGAGAGTCTGAGATTTTAGATACAAATATTTTAAAAATTAAAACCATTAAGAAAAAACAAAAGTCAAAATATCAAAATTTCTTTAATTATGTTATTCAAACAATAACTGAATGGTTACGAATCTACTTGGTTACCAATTTCTACTTATGATGGCTTCCTTGCCTCTATTAGTAACTTCATCAGTTTTTTATCACATCACATATCCGCCAATGCAATAAAATATACCAGACATATAGGTGAAACACTATATATACTTGTTACTCAGCGAAAATGAGGTATTTTCTGAGATCTGAAATTATTCTTTTTCCATTCAATTCTCTTGGAAAAATATGAAATTAATTATCGTCATAATAAATATGTGAAAGAATTGTGAACTCTCTCCGTGAAATAAATGTGAACTCTCTTCAGACAAGTATTGTGGTTAGTATAAGTAAATATAACTCATTGCTTTGGATTTTCTCTGAAGTCCTGTACTTCTTGTACGTCCCTTTTATTATTTTTGGCAATCTCATAGGTTCCGCTATCCACTGTGTTATCAAAATGAATCATCAACAATGAAATAACGGACAACATCCGATCGAACTCCGTTGCAAGGGCCCATGTATTCTCTGTTAGGTACCGGCATGGTATTTGAGAGAACTCTCCGATTAAAACCGCATTTGCCTTGCAAGACAATCCTTTGGCCCTATGAAGAGACTGCTTCAATCGACGACACCCGACTAATATCTCCCTCAGGTCACCCGTCTTTCGTCTCAGCGAAGTCCTCAAAAACCTTTGAATTCTCGCCTACCACTTAGTTCATTCCACTTCACGTATTCTAGATTCACTGGTTTTTTACAATTACATCGTATTACCGCTAAATTCGGGTCTCTGCAGTTTGAATGAAAATATCCAATATTGGCCTCGTCTACCTACGAGTAATACCGTACGTTCGCACCGAATCTGGTGCCAACGTTTTGGTATTGTTTTGGTTACTCAATGCTGAGTATTACAATGGATATTATGCTATTATGGGAAAACAGTCGCGGTATTGGTAGGAAAGGATCTTTCTGTAAGGAAAGCAAAGTATCTTTTTATAAGGAAAGAATATTTTTCTAAGGAAAGATCCTGATAAGTTACTGCTATTATGGGAAAACAGTCGCGGTATTGGTAGGAAAGGATCTTTCTGTAAGGAAAGCAAAGTATTTTTTCCTAAGGAAAGGATATTTCTCTGAGGAAAGATCCTGATAAGTTACTATCTCATTTGGCCCATAATGGATATTAGACACCAACATTTTCCAAGGTCAGGGCAAATATAATAATCTAGTGTGGAAACGCATGTAGCTCCTGAATATTACAAAAAGATTGACCGAAAAAGAAGGGATGTATAACTCGAAATCAACCACAGTAGCATTCACCAAAAGAACCAAAACAGGGAGATTAAGACCTATGAAACTTTGAGATGTAGAAATACATCTGTCGTGGAGGTCAAATATATGGAAGTGGTACTAGATACCAGACTGAACTGAAACCATTATGTACAGCTGCATACGCATCTGTATTGTGGTGGCCAAAGATGAAGCAAACGGCTGCTTTAATCACATCAAGCAGGGTGTATAGTAAAGATTGGCTTGATTGAGAATAACGAGGGCAATGGAACACTACATCAACGGCACAAACACTGAATACTTATTTAGTTTCAGTACAATTTTCTCCATGTTTATCCGCAAAATGTCTTTTTTTCCAAAACGAACGCAAATGAAATATCTTCCAAAGGAAAATTATAGAGTGATGTGTTCAAATTGAATACCGCAGAGATTTGAATACGAGGAATGCAACGAAAGAAGAATAATTCCTTCTAGTTCACAGTAATTATAAAGTGAATCGTTGCACCATTGCGAAACTGTTCTACCCCTTTTGATTTATCTATTCATTTTTCGAATGAAAGAATCTGTCGAGTATAGCAAATACATCTAATTTATGATAAAACAAAATCAATCTCATAACCGAAAAATAAAAAATTTAATTATTGTTCGGTTGAACTTCATTCGTTTCAAATGTGCAAGCTAGATCGCTTTCGTTTCATAATGGAATATTGTTCAATACATCAACACGTCAGACTCTTCACAAACAAAATTTGACGAATTCATTTCACACTTTTATTGATGAATATTTCACTAATGAAAACTTTTTCTGGTTTACTGTTATTTCACATCGCTTTTAACAGTTTCAATTTTTCCGGAATTTAGGTATATGACATAAATGTGTCATATCCATCCGGAATTTACGGAGTCATATCCATCATCAATTTACGGTGGAAGTTATATCATCACGTGGGCCGGGTATACAATCAGATTGATATTCGACATTTACAAAATTATTCTGGTGGGTGCTACAACTTCAATGGACATTTCATGAAACTGAATCACTTTAGCGAATTATGACAAGTATGTTGACAACAAGTATTTTACTTGTTCGATTGATGACCTATTTATTTCGTAGAAATTCTTCATTAATCAGAAGGCAATAATTCAAATGAGAAAAAATCTAACTGACATGCTCCCTTTTTAGGCATATTTCAAATGTCCCAATTACCTAATGAGGAACGCTCTTCGGAATAATACATGTACAAAAATGTATTGATTGTCTTCATAAACGCGGGAAAATATTTTCATTCGCCTTTTTTTTAACAGATATGCATAACGTTCAGCAGAAATTTGATGAATTCCACCCATCATCACATTAAAGGATAAGCCTGAGTAAAAAAAGGTGATAACAATTCCTTATACGAGGACTCTATCTATGGAATCGACAGATGACTCAATCAAGGAATATAAAAAATTAAACAGGCTCTCAGTATATTCCATCGATGTATTACCACCTCGTAAAATAACACGCATTCAACAAAATAATTGAATACTATTTATCTCAAAGAAAATGTAAATCAAATGGAAAATGTTCAATTTAGCACTTTTGAGTAATGAGTTCAGTTCAGTATCGAATACGCCTGAAGCAGTGATATTGCATAGACTGATAAGTTGTGATTATATAATTTTTCATATAATTTTTTTGAGTAAATTTCGCACTAAAATGAACATTTAAATAATCTTCAAATAGACGATATAACCCAGATATTTTTTTTCAGTGTAGTTGGCGTCGCTTATGCAATCGTCTATTGTTGAGATGAATGAAAATCAGCGAGTTCATGTTTTCCTAAGGCCGCTTCTGGTATGAAACAGTTCATTCGGTGTAGCACCCAGAGATCTAATATTCCATTCAAGTTAACCGAGGGTTCGGTTATTGGAAACCAAACGCTGAAAGCAATGCTCCACTAGCAAGCTGCTTCAATCTAATATTTATTATCTGATATGATGGATATTCCACCAATATCGTAGAGTTAAATGGCGAAGGCGCTAGTTTGTTGCAATAAATAATTAAGTGGAAGTGTTGTGATAATATATTGCTTACCTTGATATGATATATTGAACTAGAATATGGAAGGTGATATAAAAAAGTGGGTTTCATTAAACGGAGTGTATCTGTTGTTTATTGAAATTTTTGTGAAACATGCGATGATGCACTCAATCCAGTGATGAATCATCGAAATCATTTCCTAGAGTGATAAATAAAATGTACTCCTTTTTGAAATCTATGAAATTTTCAAACACTATGAGCTGTTTTCAGGATTATTTTCACAACGTTTCTGAACTCCAGATATCACCAGAAGATCGCAAATAAAACACGTTCAAAAAACAAACACTCTATTTCACAAATCGCCAATCTTTCGTCAGGACACTAAAATGAAATACAATAGATAAGAACTGAAAAAATGGACAATCCTTAGAAATAATCTAAGTTTTACAATTGAAAATTGAATATTGATGAAAAAATTTCACAAAATTGGCGCATTGATGTTAATAATGTCATAAGTTTCAGATATCTGATATTAGTAATGTCATGTTCAAAGCTTACTGTAATGACAAGATATTTATCTATGTAAATTTTACTTNGCCTCACGTTACATTTTTCAAGTTACCGTCTCACGCGATATCGCATTAAATGTTCAAATTGTCTTCTATCATTTCTAGAAATAGGCTGCTTGTGGCAGTTCTCTAACATCTGTGGGGTGATAGCCATGCAGGCTCTTCTGATTCTTTCAATTCCTCAATGTTTTCAAAATTCCTTCTGAATACTTTATCTTTTATGAAGCCCCACAACGGAAAATCTAGACGAGAAAGTCCGGTGACCGTGGTGGCCATTCAATCAATTCAGCAAATCTCTGTACATTTTCCTACGATGTGGTGAAACTCAGTCGTGTTGGAAATACTCATATTTTCTTATAGCTAAGTGGCAAATCTTCCAGAAACTCAAATAAAGTCCCTGATAAGAAGTCCGAGTATAATTTTCCGGTCAGAGATGTTTAAAAAGAGTAAGGGCTAATAATTTTATTGTTCAGAATACCAAGCCATACTTTAACACCATATCTCTCTTAAAATTGGTAACTCTATGTGAATACTTGTTTTCTTGTCGACAGTAATAATGAATATTCGTGTTGAACCATCCATTATTGGTAAATCTACTTTTATCACGACACATTTTTTTTTGCAAATTTCATTATTTTGGCAAAATTTTCTAATGAGCCATCTACCAAAAATGTTTTTCCTGTTGAGTCCATCAAACGCAAATAATGGACTTTCCTGAATCGATGATGCTTTTATTTATTTTTCTTTAAAATTTTCCGTACAGACCTTGTGGATATGACCAAATTATGAGCAATCTCCCTCAGGGATACTTTTTCCACAAATCCTAAATCAAATTAATGTCACTTTATCATTATTGTGAATTTTTTGCGAACTCGCCTAAATATTTCATTATCGCCACTACATTCAGTAACCGTATATTTTCTTTTGGAGGGTTCGTAAACTATTTTCGATACGGTGATCATATCTATGATTAGGTTGTCCCCGTTCAGGATGTAACTCCCAATACATTGCTAGAGATTTGGTAGCATTTCTCAAACATCTCGAATAAACAAAAAGTATATCCACGTTTACGTCATTGAAAAAATAATGGTTTCCCCTCAAAATCGCTAACTTTCTTATTTTGTGTTTGAAAATTAACTTGACATTCACATTCATGCATTTCGTGGCTTACTTCAAACAAAAAAATTATCGCTTATCATGTTTCTCCTGAATATCATCTATGCCTATTTTGATACAGTATTAAGTGTATGCTTAGGGGCGGAGCTCCAAACATGAGAACAATACTCCAAAAAAAGGTCTGATCTGAGCTGTATAAAGCAACAAAAGTTGCTGAGGTGTGTACAGTTTTCTGGTTCGGAACAGCGTTCCAAACTTTTGGCAAGCAACCTCTGCAATTTCAAAGACATGATTGTGCCAAGACATATTGGTGCCAATTGCAGGAAACGTTTTTTCAGGAAGCTGGAAAGTAATGCACAAAAATGATCTGACAAGCCATAGCATCGAAGTATGGCCAGCAAACCATCATGCCACACACGGTCAAAGGCCTTAGAAATATCAAGCGCAACAGCTCTTGACTCTCCTTGTTTCTCGATTGCGTTATTCCAAATATAAGTGACATACGATAGAAGGTCGCCTGTTATTCTTTGTTGATGGTCGCTCAAGATGTTGAAGTCTTCCAGATATTCAAGGATTTGGAGGTTTGCGGCTTTCTTCATGATTTTGGATATCACTGATAGCAAAGCGACTGGTCTATAGTTATTTGGAAGATTTTTCTTGTTCTCTTTGGAAATAGGCTGAACACGAGCAATTTCCAACAAGACGGAAAAACCCCTTCCTTGTAAGATAGGTTGAAAAGTATGCAAAATACTGGTGCGATTTCATTTGCGCACTTTTCAAGTATGATGACGAGCACTTTCTCAGGACCAGACGGCTTGTTGATATTGAGCTGTTTCAAAATTTGCCTGTCTGGACGTTGTCAAAAAGTAATTTCCGGCATTGCGGATTCTAGTGTGGAAATAGTGGGTGGTGTTTTTTAGAGTTGCCAACCGTAGCGGAATTCCGCTACCGTGGCCGAATTCACTCGACGGTAGCGGCGTAGCGGATTTGAACATAAAGTAGCGGAATTTTCTACAAATAATCAATATTGAAAAAATATAGAAGAAGAAGAGACAGTACACAGCACTCGTAGCTCACAGCTGACAATTGAATAATTGAATGCACAGTCAATACATTATAGTCTTAGTAGCCGAAGCCATTACATGATGAAAGAGGAGAAGAATCATTTTTGATATTTTCATTACTATCATAAACTATATAATCTCCAATATCTTGGAACTAAAAGTCTCAACTGTCTCGAGTATTATGAATTATGTGGAAGAAATTTCAGTAGAAATGGAAGATAGTTCATCTGATTGTAGCTCGAGCGAAAGAGCTGCCGCAGTTGAAATTGACGGGAACGGGACATGTTAAAAAAAACATAAAAGTCTCAACATCGGTTGTCTGATTCCAACTTGAAAGGATGGAGTAGACCTGTCGCGAATGATCGTTCAAGAGCTCAGTATGACTATACGTACGTGAACAAATTGATATTTCTTTTTACTTTTCAAAATCATTATTATAAGCTAAGAAATATTTGGTCGAGACGACAGCTCGACAACTTAACGACAACTTAACTGCTGTTAGAAAATTAGGTACCATCACTAAGTTGCGCGGTTGAAAATTAGCATGATCCTAATTCCTGACATTAGTAACAGTTCAGTTTTGTGGTATCTAAACGGTACATAAACTGTGAGTTCTGTGGTATTTAATTTCGGACAGGGCGCATACGCGAACTTATGACGTCAGATATACAAGCGTAGCGGAATATAAAGCAGTGTAGCGGAATTTTGGTTCATGTGTTGCGACTTTATAGTTCATCCAGTTGGCAACACTGTACTGTCTTTCCCAGAAAATCGACTGTAGAGTGGGACGCAAATTGTTCAGCTAGTAGTATTGCTTTTCCTATGGATATCAATAACCTTTGAGTTCAAGGAATTTGCAATTTTGTACAAGGGTAAATTTAACAAATAACCAAATAAATAAAACGTTCATTAGATATCGTCGAATAACTTATAAGTCAGACATGCAAATGAAATCCCTAGAATTACCATTTTATTTGAAATGAAGAAAAATTATTCTGTTCGGAAAAAGATTTGAAACTTTCATCCACATTCTCTTTTGAATATTTTCAATTGTGACCATCATTCTGCAAAATGGCAAAAGTCCGTGTAATCAAAAACATTTTAAGCACTCACCAGAGCGTCTAAGTGGTCTTTCGGAGAAACGAATATCCTTCCATTGAGTGTCAACGCCGTTGGAATACTGATGTCGTTGTCTTTAAAGGCAACCCTCTCTCCATTGGACTTGACTTCAACGAGAAGCAATTCGTCGTTGACCCTCATTTTCAGTTTTTCCGCTGCTACCAGCTTTATGGTTTCAGCCGGTGTGTCTACTGGAAGCCTTAATGTGCAATACGTGTGGTCGGCACAATATACGCGGAAAATTACTGAAACAAAAACAAATATCAACAAAACTATCTGTGATGAATGAAGGATTAAAGAAAGTTGAGTACAGAATTGTAATCTGAAATGAAAACGAAATATTCACAGAAAAGATCGGTTTTCTGGGAAAAAGTTTTTTGCCTTTTTACTTCTCCATCACTGAATGATGTGTGAAACTTTCAAAGAAAGGAAATAGTTTGTTTACAGTTTGTTTGTGATATAAACTTTAGTTGGAAGCATATATATACACTACATATCTTCATGAAAAGTTTTTTGTAGTTATTTCTTTCTTCAATTTTTCGGAAGTTTCCCACTTTTTCCACTAATGGAAAAGTTGAAAGCCGAAAAGCTTTGTTATTTTAGCGATTAATACATTGACTTGAAATCTTAATCAATAGAGTTTTTTAATAGATAAAGTGATGGAAAAGGAAGGTTTATCTGTAAAAGAAAGGTTTATATGTATATAACGTGCTTTATATAGTAGAGAAACACTGATAATTTTAGAGGTTTCCGATGTGATGTCGTAATTAAATACATTTTTTTGCTTACATGCAAACAAATGGTTGTGTACCACTCAGAATTGACTGTTCTGCGTTGTTCTAGTGGTACGGTTGCGATATGTCCAGTTTTTCAGAAAAAACAGGCGACCATTTGATTGGAAGTGCTTCGTGCGCGAACTTTTGTTGGATTTGGCTCTTCTTTTCAAATTCATATTGAATGTATTTTTTCTCAATTTTAAAAAATCTACCGCCCTTTAAAGGTGCTAGTGATGAGTTGCAATGAAGAATTTTGTTCTCTATGTTCCTCAATATGTCTGAAGGTAACTCAACTGATTGATAATATCAGTATAATGAAAAATAATGGTCATCACTTTTCCATGCGCTCATTTTAAAAACACAATTTTCCTTATCGAAAATATTATTGAAACTTAAGAAAACACGATAATCTCAATCAGACCTCCGTTTATGACGAACAAAACTTATGTCCAAGATCAGCAATGGGACTGTACATAAATACTCGCGCTTTGAGCATTTAAGATTCATTCAGAATTCAATTGAACATTCTCTGCTCAGACCAGTTCAGTCTCAGAGATCCAGTCTTGTTTTGCAACGATCAATTTCAATATTGTTGTATATCATGCCCGAAAGAAAATAACACCGGCCGACACTGGTAACCATAAACCAAACGTGACGTAGCTAAGAGAGCGTGGATGCACAATGTTCTCTGCCGCTCTAGAAGCAGCGAGAATAATGCTACCAATTTCGACGGAACTAGGGCGAAATTCCTACGGCATTCGATTACGATATTTAAACGCTAGCCGCGAGCATATCGACACAGTCAAGTGGACGTTACAGTGCGGTACACGAATTGATTTAGTGAGGCGATAGACATTCAAATAATAGTTGAAGTTTTAGTTGAAGTGTTTGTTGTATTCAAAGTGAAATGAAGTTGAGTTTGATTATTCATTGTAGTCAATTATTGGTCGACCCACGGGAAAAAACGTAAACATATAATTGTTATGAGTGTCTGATTATTATGAATTTAATGAATTTGAAGCTCTCATGAATAAAAACTTACGAACATATTTTTTTAGCTCAAAGGGATTTGGTTGTAGAATATCTAGAAACAACTGACATCAGATATATTATTGCAAATAGTACCAGGAAAGGTCAGATGGTTCTTTGTAGAATATTTTTTATAACTTTCTGGACATATTTGCATAGAACATTACGAGTACTGTATTGCCTGCAGTGGAGTATCTTTATTTAACTCAGATGTCCTCTAAATGGAGAATATCCAGTGAATACCCCTATAATTATTCTGAACCGATCCCTGCTGTGAAGTAGCAATTATTCAGTTTTTTGAGATGTTATTTTTATTTTTTTCGTGTGCGTTCTTACGACCCTAATCTGTTTCCGTATCATTGATTTTGGTGACCTAACCTCACAGCTAGTTCAGAGTCAATTGATCCCTGTCTGCTCTTAACTAACGAAACGTTTGGTATTTCAATTTCCATTTAATCACCGCCTGCCTCACCGGATTTGGTTCTCTTTGATGTTATAAAAAACTTTCGCCATAAGTCAATTGGTGAAGAAACGAATACATTTTCATTATTTGAACCTTCATTGTTTTCGTAATATTTTCACCACATTCATTTCTGCAATATTATTCGACTTCAATTATTTTTCCACCATATCATTTGAATATTACGATTCTATAATTCTGTATTTTTATCCACTCTCATTTCTGGTTTTAGAAATTGAAATCTGAATCTAGAACATTCCATATACTTCGAAAATATCAACTCAATCCATTAAGATAAAATTACTATCATCTTGCGGATATCTCCTTAGGATTTTCTACTTTCAAGCTGATTGTATGCGTTTTCATTTATGCATCGAGTAATTAATGATATCTGTGAAGATATCTTATCCTCTAAGTCAATCAACACATTTTTCAGTCAATTTTATTATCGGGTTCACTCCACATTTTCAAAATAAACCAAACCGTATGCTTTTGACTCGCTCAGTAGAAAACAAGAATTTGTATTAATGAGAGAAGTATTATAGCGTAAGCCAAAAAATCCTTATTTAATGATACAGTTATCCCTAATTCTCTTCGTTAGGAATAATTGGCCTTCTTCTAGCTGGTTATATGAACAGCTATTTAGATCATCAGTTGAGCTTTTTCGTTCTTCAAATGCCACACTGGCACACTTAATTGCCTAAGTCTCGTTGTGACAATTCTGATTTTGTTGAAGAATATCGAAGCATTTTCAGGTTTTTCTAATTATAGCAAATTTTGATTACCCTTTATTTAGAGAGTCTCATGAGACATGTTCTGAACTGACGTGGTAGAATGGTAAACTGGTGGGTTGACGTGGGCGGTCAGCTCTATTCAGTCAATATACCCTTGTGTGAACCGGTGGTTCGAACCGCAAGGCCGGGCGATCGATTTTCACTTCCTATCGTCCACCCCGTGTTAGGAATCACACGTTGGAAGGTGAGACCTCGTTAGTCCCTAGCTCACGAAAGTTTCGACTTTTGAGAGTTGTCTTTCGTAGGGGGGCGACAGCTGGTTAACGAAAAACATATTTTAACAGATTTTCACAGATTTTAACAGATTTCTGATGATAAAGTTCATATAACATGGAGCCACTTGAAGATCGTTGAGTGAAATATTTTAATGTTCTACTGAACAACCCCTTTTCACGGAACATATTTTTGGTCGAAATGAAACACTTAATGATAGAAAAGTGTTTCGCTAGCTGATACGCAATTCTTTGGGAAATAAATATAGAAATGGACTCACTGTCATCTTGTGGCATGATTATCGTTCTACTCGTATCATTTCCTGCACTGAATAAGCTTATTGGCTGTCCAAGTGAAGGAAGTTTCCACTTCTGACCATCGTGAGCTTTTCTGTCATCATTGTACCTGTGAAGAACAAAACTTGGGTCAACGTACATATGATAGTAATAATAACAATTCATATCCAGGATTTACAGACTACAAATAGAAACAGTCACAATATAACCTAATTATGAATTAGAAATGAATACACAGAACAGTGAAACAAGTTTTTAGAAATTCAGAGTTGGAAATATTCATTCACAGAATAATCCCCTAAAAAAAACTCTGGCCGCCGCTGGTCTTCGTAATACAATTTTGACTTGGCCAAGATCGCGTTCAACTCTACTTGCGTTTCTCGATCGTTCTAGGTTTTGCGTCACTTCGAGAGACTTTCAGAGATTCCTCTATAGGCTTCCAGAGACTTCCATTACGATATATAAACACTACCAACAGGCTGTTTTGTGAAGTCTCGTTGAAACTGCGGTATGAATTAATCTAATGAGGCGATAAACATTTGAGTATTAGTGTGAAGTTTCAGTTGAAGTGTTTGTGTTGTATTGTCAGTGTAGCAGCGAAATCATGTTGAGTTCATTTGTATAGTGTGGTCAATTATTGTCAAATCCACATGGAAAACGTAACATTATTGCCAAATGAAAATAGTTTTAAAGCACACTCAAACCTTATCAGCGTCGTAATTCTCATTTCAATAGGTAATTTGTAATAAATTCTCAAGCCTTAGTGGTACCAAGACGACACAAATGTCGAGGTTGAAAAACATGAAAGTTTTGACTTTGTCTGTACCGATAAGTTCGAAATAAGGGTGTGCCTAATATTGAAAATATATGTACACATACTTCAAAAATGGACAGACTACGCAAAGTTGAAATTTGGTTCATTTTGAAAAGTAAGTAAGTAAGTAAGTAAGTTTATTTGACTACGTTACATTACATTTGTAGCAGGTCATACAAAAAGTGTATATACTAATATGTATACATAAATAATTGTTGAAACTGCGGTATGAATTAATCTAATGAGGCGATAAACATTTGTCTGAAGTCTCAGTTGAAGTGTTTGTGTTGTATTGTCAGTGTAGCAGCGAAATGATGTTGAGTTCAATTGTATAGTGTGGTCAATTATTGTCAAATCCACATGGAAAACGTAACAAATGAAAACAGTTTTAAAGCACACTCAAATCTTATCAGCGTTGCAATTCTCATTTCAATAGGTATTTTGTAATAAATTCTAACAAGACGACACAAATGTTGAAGTTGAAAAAAGGAACATGAAGGGTTTGACTTTGTCTGTACGGATAAGTTCGAAATCAGGGTGTGCCTATTATTGAAAATATATGTACACATACTTCAAAAATGGACAGACTACGCAGAATTGAAATTTGGTTTATTTCAAAAATATTTCTGCCTGAGTTCTTTTCTGAGCAATAAAACATCTGGAGACACCAGATGCACTGATGCACCCCATAAACAGATACCATAATTCATACGTGATTCGACTTGAGCGTGATAGATTTGTATCATCTGAGACTTAGACAACATAGTTTTCACGTTTCTAAATTTAGTTTCCTAACTATCAAATTTCAATTTTAGCTGAGATGTTCATCAATAAAGACCGCCAAAAATTTTGTTGACTCGAAATCCTCCAGTAAGGTTGAATTCATTTTCATTTCAGGTTCACTGCATATTTTTTGGCAATAATGAAACCGTTTCATATGCTTTTTAGAAATGTTCAAATACAAATAGTTTGTGTTATTATGTATGTAGATATATTACTCAAATTTTTATTATATAACTCATATAATTTCTCGTCAGTTTTTCCACTGATAATTATCGATGTATCATCAGCATACTTTATAAAAGTATCAGTGTGCAATTTTTTGTAAATCATTGGTGTAGAACAGAAACTTATCGGTCCTTATACGTATTCCTGTGGAACTCCTATATCAATTCGGGATTGTTCAGATTTTTTTGTATTATATATGAGTTGACATTTGATGTTATACTAACAAACTGTAATCGATTAGAAATGACCGAGTTAACCCAATCTAGGAGAATATCGTGTTCAACACAGTCAAATGCCCTACTTAAGACACAGAAAACCCCAACAAGACTTTTGCCGCGCTCTACCATATGTGAAAGTTTTTCAAAAGAAGACAGCAAAGCTGTATTCATTGATTTTCTTGGTGAAAAACGTGTTTCTCTGCGAATTTGATGAGACGTTATGAAAAGGTATATTCAAAAATTTTTGAGCAGGGCACTGTAATCGTTCTATAATATTCTATTGAATAACTGTCTTTTTGTTTAAATTTCAAAATGACTTTGGCTAGTATTGAAAGTTGTGGAAAGGCGCCTTCGACAGAAGACATATTCACCAGAAAAACCAATGTCTGAATAGAGATACGTAGGATTTTCTTCAGAATGAACGTCGGCACTCGGTTTTGTTTTGTAACAAGACAAGTAATACTGTTTCAACAAATGGTTTCAAGAAAAGTGAAATATTGTTTTACATGAAATTGACTGAATAATTTTATTGATAATTCGACGAACAGCGTTGACAAAATAAGAATTCAATAAATGCAATACTGTTTCTAGATCGTCGACTGAAACTCCGTTCTCAACTAAACTGAATTTTTTCAGTTTTCTTTCTGCCATTAAATTCCGATACTACTTGCTGAATTGCCTTCGATGGGTAGAACGAGAAATTTCGTTATACAAATACCTTTTTTTTTTAAATTTTCAACTAGTTTTTTATGCCCTTTCTCAGCAATTTCGTGTCATCCAATTCTAGATACAATAATTTTAGTTGAATCACGTCATTCAGTTCAGAACTGGATATTTTCACTTCCCGAGTGATCAATTCACGCGAGTTGCTTTTCGAAATAGAATCAGAGAGTCTTGAATAATGTTTCGAATGCCTGATTCATTGAAGAACATCTCTCCACAATCCGTTGAAATATTGTCATCTCTAAAGCGGTGTCAAAATTGTACACTTTGAGCTGTACAGCCTGATTGTCTGATTCCAGACTCAAACAATATAGTGCGATTGTCTGAGATATTATAGTCAATTATAGAAACAATTTTGTGTCTATCTATACTAATATTATAAACGTGAAAATTTGTGAGGATGGAGATATGTATGTATATTTGTATGTTTGTGGCTCTTTCACGCCTAAATGACTCATTAGATTTAGATGAAACTTTACATAAATACAGTGAGGTGTGTCCTTCTACTGTGTGGAGACTTTTGAAGAGGAATATATCCATACAAAATTAAAATTGTACACCAATTAACTGAAGATGACCCTGACCGAAGAACAAAATTCTGCGAAATCATGATGGTAACCATTGCAAGGCATCCTACCTATCTCCACTATATCTGGTTCAATGACGAATGTAGTTTTTTTTAAACGGCAATGTTCACAGTAAAAATTGCCGTTATTGGAGTGACACCAACCCCCATGTTTTCCGGAAAACATATACACAATATCCAGAAAAAAATAACGTTTGGGCAGGAATATTGGGAAACCTGTAGGACCTCTATTTATTGATAAACATTTAACAGGAAAACTGTATATGCTGGAAACTACTATTGATCCTCTCATCACTGAAATCGTCGAAGCGAATCCTAATGAATGATAATTGATATGGATATTGTATTCCAACAAGATGGAACACCACCACATTACTCCAGACAAGTGAGAAACTATTTGGATACTGCTTTTCCCGGTCGTTGGATTGGCCATCGAGGTCTTACAGAATGGCCAGCTCGCTCGCCAGATTTGACACCTTTGGACTTTTTGTATGGGATTATTTGAAGCAAAAGGTGTACGAAACTGAACCTGCTTCGAAATCGGATATACGGCAGAGAAAAACAAATATTTATAGATATATTGACGTTACTGTGTTCGGAAATGTTCGGCGTGAAATATTGGATAGGCTGTTCATATGTCAAGAAGTTCAAGGCAACCATTCCAAATATCTTCTGAACTGACCTCAAGCTTTTTACCTCATATTTTGTAGTTAAATGTCAATGTATTCGAGCAATTATTTAAAGTTTCGCCATTTTGTAGTAGTTGAAGATATTGACATTATATTCTAGGATTGTGAAGCATTTATCAGGAGCTTCAAATAGATGTGTCATAAGACCTCCTTTCCATTTAATTTTTTTCCCAGATGGCGCCCAGTCGCCATCTTCAAAGTTTTGTCTGTTAATTTCACTTCGAAATAAAGTATTCATGCATTGATTTCATTATCCCAAACTTCAATTTTTAGAGTTGACCCGTTCAAAAAATAAAAGGGGAGGGACATGCAAACAAATGCACTGTATGCAAAATACTGAGCCATAAATACAATTAAATTGGATAATTTTTCACAATGCACATAATGTGCATTGTAAAATGCAAAATGAACAATGCACATTTTGGAATATATGTCAAATTCTTATGAAAATTGATACAATTGTCGTTTCAGGTATTTAATATAGATAAACTTAATCTTTTACAATAATCCATATCTAGAATTAGTCGGCAATTCAAAAATGAGATCTTTCAACCTTCCGCAGAGAGTCTATAAGCGTTAAGTCCCGTGACCTGGCCGGCCAATGGTTGGGTCCTTGGTGGGCTATCCAAGTAATATCACAATTTGCAGCCAAAAATTGCGTTGCGAAACCCCGTCTTGATGAAACTATATTTTTCTGAGCTTCATTAGTGGCAATTCATCAAAAAAGTGTTCAATATTTTGCCTTGGAAGTTTTAAATATCTCTGAGATGTGAGAGAGCCATTTTAAATGGAGGGCCGATAATTCTACCCCTGAAAACACCTGCCCACACTCTAAATCCTAATCTTTTTTGACTTCCCTGCTCCACAATAGAATGAGGATTTTTTGTGCCCAAGTATAGAAATTGTAGCGGTTGAAAATGCCGGCACTGCTCATATTAGCTTCGTCTGTCCAAATACAATTTAACGAAAAATCATGCATTTGGTTACAACTTTCCAGGGACCACTGGCAAAAAGCCATGCGGCGTTCAAAATCTCTTGATCTGAGTTGATGAACTTTTTTGGCCTGTATGG